TGTATTACGTGTGCTAATGGCCGAGTAATGACTTGATTAATGATGGCCCAGCTGATTTATCCTGTAACTAGTACGCATTCGTGGCCTGCCTCATGTGTGTAATTGTTTTGCTGGGGCCAGGTCCTAGCCCTAATGCTATCGATCAGATCAATCGAACGTGCGCCTGACTGTAGATGGCCGCCGCCGCCGTCGCCGTCGCTCACGACAACGCTATACAGCTACGCGCCAGGAGGCCAGCCTATGGATACAAGCAGGTACTAGTGTATTATCAATATACTCCGCACCTGATTGCAGCTATTGGCAGTAATTTCTTTTTATGAATCCAAACCGTAGTCTGATTGTTAGTATTTCTGTTTTGATTTTGGGATCGATCGCCTGCGCGCGCTAGGGCATTGCCGCATTGCCATCAGCCACATAAGGAAGCTCTGCCCTTTCGTTCTTGTGTCTCCTCCAACCGTCATCACCGGCTCATCCCAATGAAGCAGTTGTTGCTTCTCGGTCAGTATCAAATCCTATACTATCCAGTCCCATGACTCATATTGTCATAGCTAGACCAAATCTAAAGGTATATCCAACATACAACTAGACTATGCAAATTACTAGGTAATGTTATTGTTACATTTCTTACTACAATATTTAAAGTTTTATAACAACTATACGTCAAGATAAAGTTCTAATATTTACTTTTCAGTTTGCTATATATTCCGAGAGTGATACTGTTGATTTGTTTGATATTTTTGCCGTCTAGAATTATATTTATAGTAATAAAAGTGTCATTTTCCTTTAAATTATAAAAAATGCACCTTAGATAAAGAAACGGAGGGAGTATATGTTATTGCAATTTGATCCCGGTGATATATATCTAAAAGACGCCTATAATCGCATTTTATATATGTTATATACGATTTCTTGGTATTGGCCTCTTCGCCCCCCTCATACTCAAATCCTGGCTCCGCCCCTGGTGCTCCAAGATCTTGCTTCTCGGTATTTGAATCTGAACTGGTTTCAGTAGCTTTCTTAATCTAGTCGAAACCTAGGAAATGCAAATATGGCCCAGCTAGCCTGTGCAACGCATTGCTAATTTGAGCCTAGAACATATACAGCTTCCTTTTTGTTGTAGAACCTTAAAAATTAAACACATGTATAATATTGTTGGCTTTCCTTGCGTGGTCTCAGTAATAGCAAACGTTAATGGAAAATCATGATTACTTCCTTTATCCAACAGGTTTATTCTGATGACACTATTTCTCATGGCGGCTTTTCTTTACGGGGAATTGGTGGAAAGGTTTATTCTGATGACACTGTTTCCCATGAGACATAGACTCCAAGACAAATCAAGCTCTGATCATGCTATAATTCATAACTTAGTGCTGTTGGAGCTGTCTTCGCTACTGAGTAGGTAGATATGTGACAATAGTAAGTGACCGGTCCATATCTTAATTAATCAAGCCACTATGACATTACTTTTTGTTAAGTATGGTTGAAGGCTTCCATGCGCACCCCTTTCTTTCTTTTTGTTTTCTAATGAAGGAAAAAGGTGCATAATATTCCAATCTTGCACACCTGCTACAATCCACTTTCTAGTGCCATCCACCTCGTACAGCAGCAGTTGCATGATCTGGAATTAAAGCATTAGTTGTTTGGATAGAACCTTAAAAGTACACACATATACTATTGTTGAGTGATCTTGTATGGTCTTAATAATAACAAATGTTCATGACAATCATGATTTCTTCCACGCTAGAGTGAATAATTATATTTCCAAAGGGGACTGGTTTGCCAAAATAAATAAATAGAGGAGGGCAAGGTTGTTCTCTGAGAAATGATTTATGATGGTAGATTCGTAATTTCTTTTGGTTTCTCGCAATATTTCCAACGGGGACTGGTTTGCCAAAATAAATAAATATAGGAGGGCAAGGTTGTTCTTTGAGAAATGATTTATGATGGTAGATTCATAATTTCTTTTGGTTCTCGCAGGCGCATATTGAATTTATGCTCCAGCCAACTTATCCAAATGTCTGAATTGATGGAGAGAGGTGGGCAAAATATTTCAACACATCCCTTCATGTCTAGGCTATTTTAGTCCATAGATGTGGGACGCAGAATCTTTTTTTAATACTGCGATGGCAGGTCAGTCCTCGTGGCTTTGATACCATATTGAATTCATGCTCCAGCCAACTAACCCAAAAGTCCAAACTGATGGAGAGAAGTGGGTAATATATTTCAACAACTGAGTATTGTGTGGTGAAACACTGAAACTAGAGATACAAGACAATTGAAGAGGTGTTTCTTTAGAGGAAAAATTGTGGAGAGTTTTACGAGGATGAGAATTTCTTGATTCCGATGGAGACCAAGGTATGGTAATGGTTTAGATCATAATACTGCTGCTGGAGCCATCTTCTATACTGAGTAGGTAGATATGTAGCAATCATGCGTGACTGGTACATGTCTTAATATACTAAACCACTGACATCACATTGTACATTGAACTAGCACATCACTTTTTTTGGTAATAAAGAAAAAATGGGTGCATATTATTCCAATTGGGAATTCTGGTACTTAAGTACCAGCCAGGCACTGTCCCCCCCTGGCTCCGCTGCTGCGACTTCGTGCTTGGACTTTGGTACTAGCTAGTGTTTCTGTTACAGGTATCACCACTTCCTCTCGTCACATTTCACTGCACTCTATATTCATTTTGATTATTGATTGTATCTATGCTACTTACTTGGGCCTGTCTTATACCAGCTTATAGTTTCTTATGAGTCATTAAAACATTGCGGTAAATCCATTAATTTACACCGATCTTCACGGGACCTAGTGTTGAGCTCCTGTTACCAGAAATCAATCCCGAATTTCCCATTGCAGCTGCGCTCCTGCTCCAGGCAGCAGAGTGGGATTCACCCTCGTGGCCTCCCTGCCGTTGGTCTGACCTGGCCAGGTGTATACAATGTAAAAATAATATAAAAAATAGAATCCCAGTAGTAAAATATACAGAATTGCACACCTGTCTTCCTACCAAAGGGATATGTTGGTGCTTGCTTTGATAGCCTGGCATAACTTATGGCTGTAGTGCACTCCTGTTGATTTGCCATCTCTTCAGAATTGCATGTATCTGTTTTTCGTTTTTCAGTCCTGTCAGCAAAGTTTTTGCAAGCAGTGCGACTAGAATCAAGAATGCCATAGCCGCCGACACGAAGATGCTGATAAATTTTGTCTGCCGTTGTCTGCTCCCGGTAGCAAAGGCGCCCATAGGTACTTGTTTGCCAGAGTGATACAATCGTACAAACAATTTTGCTAATTCTCAGACAACTCAGTATTTTTGCAATCTCAATGGCTAGGCGCACGGGTTGACACAAGTTAACGTAATCACGACAGTGGTTGCTTCTCTGCCATGCAAAGTGTTACTATCTTCTAACCATGGCGCCGAAAAACCCTACGCGATACAAATACAATTATTTTGATAAATGTAACCCTAAATAATACAATCCTTTGTATCAAGAAGGAAAACAAACATAATTCCAAACCAGTCTTTTTTTTATTAAGGTACTCCCTCTATCAAAAATATAAGACCTTTTAGATCACTACTACATGTTTAGAGAATGTGGACTTGTAGTAAAAAGATGTGAAATCATGTCTTCTGTAAGAAAGATTTACAATTGTGTTTTTCATACGGAAGATGTGCAGCTCATAGTGGCTTAAGTTACAGTTCTGTATGAAGATAAGGATAAATATTCTGATACCACTATAACAACCTAGATTGGAGCAAAGAATCCTAGGGAGTAAGCACATATCTCTATGAAATCTGCACATGCTTGCACAGTTGCACTAGCCAGCCAGTGGATGCTACACAGCTAGTTAAACAGTATAAAATTAGCCAAACCGTTTTCATGGGACAGCTCCCTTGTTTACGGTAGCTGCTATCTTGATCACTTTGTACATATTCCTTTCTAAACGAGCTTAACCCACGCCGGCCTGTATGTTATCTTGGACCATAGCTCGTCTTGATCTCTCAAGCTTGCAGCATTCATCATCTAGCTAGTTGTAGATGCATTGGGTACGTGCCTAGTTAGATTGCATATGCGATATGTAATCATATATATGATTTTGATTGCAGTGCAGGAGATTGATCGTGCCACCGATTAATGGAAGAACAGGGATGGATGAATCGGGTGGCCCAGTTGCTGAATTTATGGGAGATCCGGGTCGCGGTCCTTTCGAGCTTCGTCGCACATCTTCTACTCGTGCTCCTCTCCAGCATCCGTCGGCGTAAAGCCTCTGGAGTGCTGATGCTCATCCTTTGGCTGGCATACCAGTTCTCCAGCTGGGTCGCTCCATACACTCTCAGCAACCTGTCCCTCGGCAACACTTCGTCACGGAGGCAGCAGCTGGTGGCCTTCTGGACGACGTTCCTCCTGCACCATCTCGGCGGCAGTGATAACATCAGCGCCTTCTCCCTAGAGGACAATAAGCTCTCTGCGCGCGAAGCACTTAATGTCATCTCGCGGGTTGCTGGAGCCAGCTATGTCCTATACAAGCATGTGTACATTGGTGGCGGAGGCGGGACTTTGATCCAGGTGTCCATCATCATTTTCGCCATCGGTGCTGCCAAGTACCTGGAGAGGGCATGTGCACTGTGGCAAGGCAACTTGGGCAACATCTCGAGCTCGAGCAAAAAGAAGCAAGCAAGTAGACTGTTCACTGGTGGTTCGTCGATCAGAACAGGAACGGATTGTCAGCTGGACGATGAGGATGCCCTTATGGTCGCACATGACATGCTCCCGCTCTGCAAGCGTGCCATGGCTGATTCTTCGGTCGACACCGAGTCACCTGAGAATAATAACCTTGATACAAGCAGGAAAATATTCACTATGAGGTGGGACAAGACGTGCAAGGTGGTGGAGATGGAGCTCTCACTCATGTATGACATCCTCTACACCAAGGCGGCCGTCATCCACACTCCGCTTGGATACAGCATCCGTGTCGCCTCACCTCTCGCCATTGGCGCCGCGACTGTGCTCTTTGGGTTCTACTACAACAAAGAAGGCCAGACCATACCGGATGTGATTATCACCTACGCCTTGCTGGTAGTTACTCTCCTCCTGGATACTAGATGGCTGTTGCGGGCACTGGGGTCAACCTGGACGCACGCATTCTTGGATGCTAGGCCACAGTCCTGGCTTCACCATGAGCTTTTGTGCTCTGGGAGATGGCGCCGGCTCCGTCATTTCGTTGTTTCTCTCGATCTTGGCCGGCTATGCCTCACGGGTCCTCCAAGGAGTCCAAGTAGCCACAGAAGGTGGTCCGGCACTGTTGGGCAGTACAGCGTGCTGCAAGAGTGCATGCGGAAGATCAGTGTTTGCAGCGCAGCAGCGAAGGCGATCGGATTGGAAGATGTTTGGAATGAATACCAGCACTCCAAAGGACACAAGTTTTCACAAGATGTCAAGCGGGTGGTGTTCACAAGGGTAAGCAAAGTTCTGAGGTCAACATACGAGGAAGACAATGATGGCAGCTACTCTATGAAGGACATCACGACGTCCTGGGGTCAGGAGACAGCCAAGAGGTACAAGGAGAAAAATACCCCGAAGGGTGAGGAGGAGAAATTCGTTCTGGCCTTTGGCCGTGAATTCCAGGAGGACATCCTTGTGTGGCACATCGCCACCAAAATTTTCCTCGTCCATGCAGAGAAGAAAGGGACCCTTGTCGACGCGATCGTTGCGCTGTCCGAGCATCTCGTGTTCCTCATGGCCGTGCGCCCGTACATGCTACCCGGCCTTGCACTCCGCAGCCTGTATGAAGCAACCCTCAAATCTTTGCAGGGGTTATGTTCCAGTAGTCGGACAACTGGAGAGGAGAAGCTTGCAAGGATCCTGGTCAACAAGGACGAAGATGGCAACTGGATTTTCCATGAAGAAACAACTCTTCTGGTCTTGGAGGGGGCTAATATTGCGGTGGAGCTGCTCAAGGCTGACGATTTGAACATGCCAAAACTGTTGGAGCTCGTCTTCAACATTTGGGTGGATAAGCTGTTGTATGCAGGCACCCGATGCAGCAGGGAATCCCATGCCAGGCAGCTCGGCCGTGGCGGTGACCTCACCACCATTGTATGGATTATGGCAGAGCATGCTGGCCCGTTTAGAACTGGCGAAGATGGTCCAGATGTTGACTGTGATGAGATGCCAGCTGATGAAAAGCAACGAGCAGAAAAGAAGAAGCCAGATGAAAAGAAGCGAGATGAGAAGAAGTCAGAAGAAAAGAAGAAGGCAGACGAAAAGAAGGATGGAGATAAATATGAACCGCAAGCAGAATGGTCACCTTACCCACCTCAGTTTCCTTTCTACCCAACATACGGAGGACTACCGATGTTTCCACAGATCCCAGAGGACCAGCAGGCATACGGTGGAGCATGGACGGATCAGCCGACACCCGACAGACCACCGGTAGCCGCGCTGACTCCGCCCAAACCACCCAAAGGCCGCCGTAGAAGGTATGCTACGCTGTATCCAGTGTAGTGACGCCCATCGTTCTCACAGGAAAACTATGTTGCAACGGGGCCACATTAACTTTAAGAGTTCAATATTACAACATTGGCGACCTTTTTAACCATCAAATCCTCACACACACAGACACACACTCTCCCTCCCTCTTCCTCACTCTCTATCCCCCTCTCCCTCTCTCTCTAACACACACACATATCCATCTTATTGGGTACGGGACCATAATCCATCTATTTCACACATACACGCTAGTGCATAACAATATGGATTATGTGTATTATATTTGCCAGCAGAACTGAGGGAATTAATTTCATGTAAATCGACCAGCCACAGCTCCAAGAATACGCGGACGAGGTGGCTCGGGTCGGCGTCGGCACCGTCCAGCGCGGGCCACGGGCCCGCTTCCAAGTGCACGTGCAATGCACGTCTTCACAAATATTATAACCAGATGTGAGAAATCACATGCATAGAAAAGACATTCTGATAGCAATCCAAATACCATACTCAATTAAATACCTAACCTGGACAATACTCTTATTTCTATGCACCAGAAAAAATAGAATAGCAAAGCTAAGTATGTCTACATACGCTCAAATTATATATAAGAATCTTGGGTGAACAATTGCAACAAAGCACTAAGCAGCGATAAATTTAAATAAAAAATCCATTAACTATGTAAGCAGCAGGCTTGTTACAACATAGAAAGATAGGAAAATGTCACCTCCAGTAATGTAGCGCAAAAGAGTGGAACGAAGCATGAATGAGCGGTTGTCTGTTCTTCTCCATGTACATGGATCAGCAGTAGAGGCCAAGTATATAAGTACTTGACTGAACTCCACTCTTCGTGTACGGAGAGCCATGTCACCTTCTCACCGCTGCAGCATGGGAGGACGGCTGGTTCACGTGACCCTCCAGCTGGGGGATCCATGGTGGCTGACCATCGAGCTCGAGGCAGAGAAGTTGAGGGCAGCAGTGGCGAGATCCATGCCGGCCAACCGGGCGAAGAGGAGGTCGTCGGGGAGGGACACATCGGCAAGATCCGGCCACCATGCGACTTGAAGAGCAACAGTGATCTCCACAAGCTGTAGGCCGACGGCGTGCTCCATCCCCTGCGATGGGGTGACCATGGCGGTGGCCACAGCTCCTCATGCTCGCCTCGATCTCGGCGACACACCCTGAGTGTAGGAGGCAGCAACGACCTCGATGAAATCATGGCCTCCATCCCGGAACGCATGAAGGACCTCGGCCCCGTCGCTACTCCTCCCGCCGTAGCCGCACGCGGTAGCGGACTGTGGGTAGGAGGGCAGGCGGCGTCGCCTCGGCTGACGGCAGGGAGCAGCGTTGATTTCGGGTAGGTGGGATCGCGAGGACAGCCGCGGCCGCGGGGAAGCACCCCGATCATGCTGCCAGGCCAATCCTTCTCCTCCGATCCCCTATCCCCGAAGATTGCGCCGCCGCCCCGGTCGTGTTGTTTCCATATGCCATTTTTTCCTGTACCTAAACAAACACGGGCGAGCGGACGACAGAGTTTTGGTCCACCCTCTAAAATTGCTAAACGCACTTTTGGTGAGGATTATTGTTAATAAATGAATTCAATCATGTCGCTCTAAATAAATGGATTCAATCATGTGACTCTAATTACTTCGGATTGTTATGTGCACACTAAGCGGGGTGCAGTTAGGAAAGAAAATGTTTTCTAATTAAAATGATTGAGTGATTTAAGGTAAGGTTAATTAATTTAGATTTGATTTTTAGTAAAGTATGATGCGTCTTTAAAATCTTTTATTTGTTTCCTTAAAATCTATTATTTGTTTCCTAAAGAAATTTGCAATAATGAAAGGTATCGGTTGATTTGGATAAGTTAGTAAATTTAGATCCGTGATTGCGTGCACGTTTGGAAAGTGCTGATTTACGACGGTTAACCTAGAAAAAAAACCTAGAAAAAGGAAAGAGCTGAGGGGTAAATAAACTGGTGAATAAGAAATCAACATCGAAAAAAATCTACGACGGTTAACCTAGAAAAAAAACCGGACGAAAGTGGTGGGACGAAAAAAACCCTGGAAGCGAGACTACCAACTGCTCCATTGGGTAATGCGTCACAGTTATATGCACGCTTCAACTTTGTGTGTCTCAACTCAGAGAGAGAGAGTGTTAGACTAGGTATATTGTAGATATACGTGTTGTAACACAATATATGTACTGTACTTCTCTTCTATATATACATGACAACCGTACCCGTTTAGGGTATCGAATATTGTTCCAACCCTAATTTGTCTAACATGGTATCAGACGACTCATTCGATCCGCGCCGTGCTTCCGCCTCCTCTGCCGCCGCCGCGTCGGCCTCCGCCGCCGTGCCGCCTCCGTCAACCCTGGCGATGGAATCGCCTTTCATGGCATCCTCCCCGCTCGCCTGGGCTCGTCCGGTTGCATCGGGCTCGCATCCTCAAGCTTCCCGATCCATGCATCCATCGATCTCCCACGCCCGTGATGCATCTCTGCCGCCGACTGCAATGCATCCATCGATCTCCCATGATGCACCTGTGCCGCCGAACTCCTACGGCACCGCTGCGCATCCATCGATCGTCCGTGATGTGTCTCTGCCGCTGCACTCCTACGGCCCCTCTACGCAGCTGCCCTACGGCGGGACTCCCGCTTCGGCCCGTGATGCGTCTCTGCAGCCGGCTCCAGGCCCCAACGGTGCCCCCGTCCAGGTGCCCTACGACTGGCCGTATCCCGCGCCGTACGTCGCGCCGTCGCCGGCGCCGTATGCTCCGTCCTCCGCAGTGCCCTACGAGGCGCCGTATGGCGCGCCCTACGCCGCTCCTGCGCCGTACGTCGCGCCTCCCCTACAGCCCTACGGCGTGTCTCCTACGGCGCCCTACAGTCATCACCAACACTACCGTGCGTCTCCGTCGGCCGATGCGCTGATTCCATACGGTGCTCCTCTGACGTACGACTCGCAGCTCTCCGCATCAGTGGCTGAACCAGGACCGTTCCACTTCGCTCATCTGGTGACTGTGAAACTCTCTGCCGATAACTATCTCTTGTGGCGCGCTCAGGTGTTGCCGCTGATGCGCAGTCACTATCTTGAGGGGTATGTTAACGGTACGCTGTTGTGTCCTCCGGCCATGGTTCCGGTGCCCTCGGCCACTGGTGGCTCCGTCATGGTGCCGAACCCTGCTCATCGTCGGTGGATCGCTCAGGATCAAGCTATTCTGGGTGCAATTCAGTCCTCGCTCACTCCCTCCGTGGCCGGCATGGTGGTCTTTGCCGCGGCGTCGAGGGATGCATGGGCCACGCTTGACTCCAGCTTCTCCTCGCAGTCATTGGCACGGTCATCTGCTATTCGTAATCAGCTGGGTGAGGTCAAGAAGCATGATCTCTCCGTCACGGCCTTCTTCAACAAAGTCAAGATCTGGCTGATACATTGTCTTCCATTGGGAAGCCTCTCCTCTCCGTGATGAGGAGTTCACCTCATTCATTCTCAATGGCCTTGATGAGGATTATGATTCTCTGGTGGAAAATATTAATGTACATGACACACCAATGCCACCCTGTGATCTCTACGCGCGGCTCCTAAACACAGAACAGCGGCTTGCTGCTCGTCGCTCTGTTGGGGTCTATACCGAGGGCTCGTCTGCAAATGTTGCTCACCGTGGGGGACCTCGTGGTGCCAAACAACCCCCGCCGGCCACACCGACCCAGCAGTCCCGCCAGTCTGCTCCCGCTCCCCTAACGATCGGGCGCAAGCGACTTCACTACCAGGCATGTGGTGATGGGGTTGAGTGTCAACTCTGCGGCATCGAGGGGCACTTGGCGTCTCGCTGCCATCGTCGCTTCAAACGTAATTTCCTTGGCATTGGGAACAACGGGAAAGGCAATGAGAAACAAGCTGCCCTCGCTACACAGGAGCCTGGGTTTACTCCTTCATATTCTGTGGATCCTGCCTGGTACATGGACACAGGTGCCACGGACCATCTGACGAACCAGCTCGACAAGCTGACCACTCGCCAGCCCTACACTAGTCATGACCAGGTCCGCACTGCCAATGGATCAGGTATGCCTATCTCACATATTGGTTAGGCATCTCTTCTTTCACGTACCACTAAAACCTTGCGTCTCCTTGATGTTCTTCGTGTTCCTTCACTCACACGTAGTTTGCTCTTGGTTCCTAAATTAACTCTTGACAACAATGTGTTTGTTGAGTTTCACCCGTTCCATTTTTTTGTTAAGGACCGGGACACGAGGGACGTTCTTCTTAGTGGTCGAGCTCGCCATGGCCTATATGCTCTTGATGTGCCACATGTTTCTGAAGTTTTCAGTTGTGTTCGGGTGTCGTCGTCGTAGTGGCATTCTCGCGTTGGTCATCTTGGCACTCCCGTGGTGCGCCATGTGCTTCATCGCCATAGTCTTCCTGTTGAGTCCAGCAATAAGGAGTTTTTAGTATGTTATGCCTGTCAACAAGGCAAGAGTCATCAGTTACCTTTCTCTGTATCGAGTCGTGTTGTCAAGGCTCCTCTTGAACTTGTGTTTTCGGATGTGTGGGGCTATGACCAAACTTCTGTTAGTGGTCACAACTACTATGTCAGTTTTATTGATGCCTTTAGTCGCTTTACTTGGATTTATCTTATTAAGCGCAAATCTGATGTGTTCCATGTCTTTATGCAATTTTAAGCCCATGTTGAGCGGTTTCTTAATTGCAAAATTGTCCATGTTCAGTCTGATTGGGGGGGGGGGCGAATATCGCAATCTTAATACCTTCTTTCAGAAACTTGGCATCTCGCATCACGTGCCTTGCCCTCATACACATCAGCAGAACGGTGCAGCTGAGCGCAAGCACCGTCACATTGTTGAAACTGGCCTAACACTGCTTCCACATGCCTCTGTCCCATTCCGGTTCTGGAGAGATGCCTTTGTTACTGCTTGTTTTTTTGATCAATAGGCTTCCCACACGACTTCTTCACATGAAATCTCCTCTAGAGGTATTACTCAATGAAACTCCAGATTACTCC